TACATTCCAGTGTTTGGGGGAACTAGGGGCACAGAGCCTTGAAAAGTCAGACCTGGGCTGGCAGAAGTGGCTGTGTGCATTTGCTTGGCATGTTAGGCTCTGCGTCCTCTAGCAGTGGTAAAATGGACAATTGTCGATACGTGGTCATAATGATAAAAGGCTTTTCTTGCAAAGTCTCTTACTTATGGGTTTCCAGGGATCTATGATGGATGTGGTGTCCTGCAAGCCTGATGACTGGAGTTTGACCCTGAGGACCAACACCTTGAAAGGTGAACTGACTTGCACAGGATGTACTCTGCTTTCCACATGTGAGCCATGACACATGTGTTCAGACACAGACAGAGAGATAGACTGACACATACACCCAAGAATAATTTAACTAAGTGTAATAAAAATTTTTAACATGTGTTTACATAGTGTGTTTGTGTGCACACTGATTGTGTGGGGTGTTTGATTGGAAGTATACGTGTTCATGCAACAGTGAGCATGTGGAGGTCATGGGACAGTCTTTGGTGTTGGTCCTTATCTTCCATCTCGCATGGGACAGGATCTTTTGTTGTTTAGCACCGCGTATACACCAGGCTGACTGGCCCATAGCTCCTGGGTATTCTCTCTCTGCCTCCTGTTTTGGGGTAGGGATGTAGGGATTGTGCAACTGCATTTGGTTTTACATGGATTCTGGGGATATGAACTCTGGTCTTTGTGCTTGCAAAGCAAGAACTTTATTCAGCAAGTTACTTCCCAGTCCCCAGAGTCTAAGAGTTAGAAAAGGCTCTAGGTCTGAACGCAGAGGTTTGAGACTCTATCAGCAGCTCTCCTGGATCACAATTTTCTGATCAGTAGCTGCTGTAGAAAACAAAACTGTCACTGCAGGTGGCCGGTTCAAAGAAGCAGCATAGGATTTAGAGCAAAGGTGGATTGATTTCCACAGCAGTGCAAGGAAACGAAGGCTTCTGAGAGCTCCCATCTTCTCCTTTTCTTGATCTTCCTTCATCCCACCTGCAGCTTGACCACCCTCCAGCAGGCTTTCATGGTCAAACCACAGGATGCACTGTTAATTCTCTGGCAGCAACTGAGAGAAGCTTAAGACCTAAGCGGACCTGTCCACCTGGCTGGGCTGGCACACATGCTGGGCTGCCTCTGTGGGAACATGCTAGCGGACGAATGCTCATACTGCTTCAAAGAACTGCCCCTTGCAGGTGCTGAAGGCGGCTTCTCTTATGCTCACACTTTATCACTGTTTATTTTTACAGGGCTCCCAGCTGCTGTGGTGATGATATTTATATGAATAAGTGCTCTATACATCTGCTGATTTCAGGGGATGGTTGCCAGCTGTGTATATCAGCCGAACTTGGGGTGCTTCCGAGCCTGATGCTTTTATATTCAGAGACTTGGTTTTCAAAGGCTGCACCAACATCTGGGGCTGAAAGATATGTCATTCACCAAGGATCAGTTCTTTAAAAGAAGGAGCTAGAGCCAACAACTTTGATATTACAGGTCCCAAAGCAAGGTTCTTCACAATTTTCTTTCTGCCCTGCTGGTCAAATGCTCTGCCACTGAACCACAGCTCTAAGGAGAACAATTGTGCTTCTGTAGGCCCCACTTCACTTGCACTTCATAGGGGCGAGTTAACTTGTCCAAGATGAAGTGGTGATAATTTCTGATTCTAGAACTCTATAGAGAACTTTCTAGAGCTTTCTTTTTAGGGAAATTTTCCTTTTTTTCTTCTATTATGATCTCTGTTCCCAACCTTCCATTCTTCAAGTCTCAAACTTTGATGACATGCTTTGCCTCCTATTTTCAGCCAGATAGCAGATTTTGTCTTCCTACCTTTGGGATACATGTAGAATCTACATCATGCTACTACCTAGCTCAAACCACCCTCAGCCACACCTGACTGTCCTTGTGGCCACTCCCCGTATTTTCTGCTTGTACCATGAGTAACCTTGATCTTTTTCCTCCACTAAGAAACTATTCTTAACACAGCAGTCAAAGGGATACTTTTAAAAGTCAAATGATGTCACTCTCCTGCCAAGCCTGACCATGTCTCCCATCCTTTGCAGAGTAAAGCTTCAAGCTGACTGAGGTCACCCATGACATAACCCTGTTACATTTCTGGTGTCATCACCTATGACTCTCCCCATCTCTGCTCTGACCTCCCATTACTCTGCTGCTCCTTGTGGGCATCGGGTGTTTTCCTAGCAACCTGATACGCTGTTCCCTGGGAGGGACATACGGTTTGCTCTTCAGCCTCCTTCAGCCCTATGTTCACATCTCGAGTCCTTCCTTGACTACTCTAGTACATCTGTGTCTTGTGCCCCAACCCAGTTTTAAAATATTCATCATGCTTCCTTCTACCCTGTTTCAATATGTAGTTGAATTCAGAATAGAGCATTTGTTGTTTATGGTTGGTCTCTCCCCTTTAGAATAGAAAGCGCACGGGAGACAGGAATAGTCTCATTTCACCTTGTCTGTGTTGTTCACCGAGACATTCCAAGAACCTAGAATAGCTTCCACAAATAGCGGTAGCAGACACTCCGCAGCTATGGCTTGTGTGAATGGAGGGAACCTCTTCTCAAGAGCGCATTCCAACACACACTCCTTTTACTCTCCTTGTACTCTGCTCCTGTCCATGCCTGCCCCTCCCATCTTCCTGCCGTTCCATTTTGGCCAGGTGCTTCCTGGATGTCTGATCACCCAGACAAGCCACCTGCCACCATCTGTGACTTCTTCTCATCCACAGTCACATGCAGCTGCTCCCTGAAGTGTGTGGACTTCACACTGGATGGTTTTACATCTAGCTCAAGTTCTCCTTCAAGCTGGCTGCTTCCTCTGCTCAGATGTCCCTCTTCAATCTCTGAACACAAGTCACATCTTCCGCCAGTCTCTGATTCCTATGTCTGTGTTTTATATTCCTAGATTCTACTTTCTAACACATGTTAAAAACCTTCGGACCACCCCCAATGTATGGCAAAGGTTTTCTAATTATTTTGGATCCCCTGGACCGGGTACTGCAAAGGGGCCCAGGTGACTAGCTAAGGGGTTATGAGGAGCAGATGAAAGGCTGGTGTGGGTGGCGCTCTGTGCCTCCACCTCCTGCTTTAACATTGGCCCAGATCCTGACTACCTACCTCTGCTTTATTCATTGGGTTTGCATGAAATTTTCACTGTTAAAAAAGGATCCTTTCACAAACAAGAGTATGATGCCCATCAGACTTATCTTCTTCAGGTCTGTATATTGTAGTATGTCTATCCTGTACTGTATGACTAAAATCCACTTATAAGGGAGTATAGGCCATGTGTGTCTTTCTGGGTCTTTGTTACCTCACTCAGGATGATATTTTCTAGTTCCATCTATATGCCTGTAAATTTCATGATTTCCTTGTTCTTAGTGGCTGAGTAACTATTTAATTATGTAGATGTACCACAGTTGTTGTTTTTTTTTTTAATCCATTCTTCTGTTGAGGGACATGTAAGTTGTTTCCAGTTGCTAACTGTTATACTAAAGCTGCTATGAACATGGTTCTGATGGACATCTTAGGTTTCATGTCAGCCCACTAGTTGGGGGGGAGGGGGATATCTCTGACAAAGACTATGTTGCCTGCTTTCTGATCACCTTCCCCACCCCCTTGATGGGATTTTCCTACACAGGGGAGAAAGATGAACTCAGTCCTCATATGAATAGATGGGCTGGGATGTCTTGTGGGGGTGCCCCCTCTTCTGAGGAATAGTGGAGAGGGGTACAGTGGGGCTGGGAGGAGAGGTGGTAAGGGCCTATGACCAAGATGTAAATTAAATTAATAAATAAAGGAAATGAACTGCAAAAACAAAACAAACAAACAAAAACCACAACAGTCTGATTTTATCAGTTCATGGCCGGGGCTCCTGAATCTGGCACAAGGAATCTCTCTGCTGACTGAGTCTTGCTGTCTCCTCCAGCCTTATCTCACTCTTTCCCTCCAGATACAGCCCCAGTGCACTGGAATGGAAGCTGACTACAGACTAGACTCCGTATGCCCACCTGCCTTGCCTTTGCTGCCATCATTCTCTCTGTGTAGAATGCCTTTGCCCAGTCATTTATCCCCTATATGACCATATCTCCTCTTCAAGACCTAAATCACCTTCCCTTTGAAGTCTTTTCTCACCCTCTGGGTAGAATTAATTGCTCCCTGCTCTAGGTCAACATGGTACTTCGTTGCTGACCTCTATTATAGCACAGCCACATGAGCCTGGGATAACACGTCCATCTGTCTCTGTAGCAATACTGGCAGCTCCTGGAAGGCTGAGACTATAGCTCAGGCCCATTTAGAAAAAAAAATTCCACCCAAGGCCTGTGCAAGCCCAGCACTCACACAAGAGTACACTGAATGACTTTGGGTTTCCTTCAAGGCACTGAAAAGGTAGCATTGTAAAAATCTGAAAGGCCGCCTTCATCTCTTCTGCTCCAGAATAGCTGCCTCACCATATAATGGTTGTTCCAGAGACTCTCAGGACAGTGTCCAGCTTCTTAGGTATGGGGAAGTGTAGATCCATGATGGTTAGAGCTGAAAGACCCAGAGGGGCTAAGGCATAAATCCAAGACTTAGTTAGGTGGTCAGGGAGCAAAGCTTCCTAGGTTCAGACTCAAAGTTCTGCCAACAGAGGCTACATGGCAAAGAGCCTTTCTAGTTTGTGGTGCTCAGTGTTGTGTGTGGGATCTTGGATTTCTGAGCTCTGCATGATTTAGAGTAAGGCTATAAACAGTGTCTCAAGCACAGATGACAGGATCTTGTCCTGGTGTAATTTGACAAAGCCCATAGCCAAGGGGGCTGTTTTATGGGATTCATTGGTGAAGGATTCAGGATGAGACTCCTTGAGTCTGCAGACAGCAGAATGGGTATGCCTGCTATTCAGTCTGACAATGCCCACAGTGGGCCATCACAGAATCTCCTTCCAAGTCTATAGCATACCAATCATGACCCACTGGGACCCACCTTTAGCAGTTTACAGTCCCCTCCTACCTGAGCAGTGTCCATCTCGTTCAGCATCACCACAGAAGAACAATTATAATCGAACACCAGCCTCCAGAAGTCTGCCACAGTGTTGGGTAGAGGGTGCTGGGTGACCACAAAAGCGGCAGGCTGCTTGTGGCTCTGACAAAAGAATGACACAGGTTTAGTCAAATACATACTCATCAGTGATATTCTGATCATGATGAGGCCGGGATGGCTGCCAGAGGCCCCGAGCCTGCCAAACAGATTTCACATAGCACCTGCCTGCTCTGTTATCTTTCGTTGCCCTGGCGGCAAAGGGGACCATCTCATAATGAACACATTCTCCTCCAAACTAAGACATTTCATTAAGAAAGTGTCATGCGGATAGGGATTATCCAAATAAATTATTTATGTCTTGGGGCTCAGCAAATCATTATTACAATATGAAATGAAAGATCCTGGATGCATGTTTACTGTGCTGCTGGCCAAAACACCTCTTGGGATATCAGGGACCCCATGGGTTCCTGTGCTTAGGATGCTAGGGAGGGGACCAGGGGCCTCAGGGGTCACTCCTGTCTCTGGGATGGAATGAGAGCTTTGCTAGCTTGGCCAGAGGTGACATCCTGTCTGTTAGCCAACAAGGCAGTCAAAGGCAGCCAGGTATTAGAGTCATGTGGAGCTGAGGTTCTAACCAAGTTCTGCCCCAGTTTTCACCCATCTGTTCATTCAGCCAGCACTATCATTGTGGGGAGTCAGGTACTGAACATTGGTGAATCTAGATGGTTTCAAAGCTCAGGCTCGTTTTCTGGAAAATGGAACTTAAATCTAAAGAGATGCAAGTTAAATGCAAGCAAGCAAGCAAACAAACAAAAACCAAGCAAACAAAACTTGGAAATTACAGCTAGAGGGAGGGCTCAGTGGGTGAGAACACTTGCTGCTTTTCCAGAGGACCTGAATTTGGCACCCAGCATGCACATGAGGCAGCGCACAACTACTTGTAACTCCATTTCCAGGGGATCTGGTGCCTCTGGCTCTATAGGCATCACACTCACGTATGTGCACATGCCTACTGTCAAACACACACACACCCACACATGATCAAAAACAATAAAAATAAACGGCAACAACAAGACAGTAAGCAAGTTCATTGTGGTGTACAAACCCTCCTGACTTGGGTTTTCTTTCTCAGCATCTGCACTGTGGTTGGAGCACACTAGACACAACACAGCACTCGCGAATACATTAATTTCACATTAGAAACAGTCACAAACACAGCATTAGTAAATACATTAATCTGCACTTGTGCTGCAGACAAAGACCAGAGCCCCGTGTAAATCTGGAAGCTTCCTTCAGGCCCATGTGCCATGCCACCCCAGAAGGAGGCATTTGGAAAGATTGGCGAGTGTATCCATTTTGTCAGTAACTTGTGAAACCTGAAAGCCAGCCAGCATTTCAACGCATTTTTGGGGAAGCTGGTCCGCGTGGGAGTCAGAGCTTCTGCACTCCAGTCACAAGTCCAAGAGAAATGGGCAGGGAAGAGAGACAAAGACCTCAGAAATGGCACGGCAAGGATTTGCAGACATTGTCATGTCTACGCTAGGGATTCCCGTTTCTCAGGGCCTTCTCTTGGCCAGTGGGTGATGATCTAATAAGAGGTATCTGGGGACAGACCCTTTAAATGTCTCAAAGCTCAAAGGTCACATCAGTATGGCTTTTCAGCCATTTTCAAACTTAAAAATAAATAAACAAATAAAACCCAGGCTAAGGCAGCGAGATGGTTCAGCAGTTAAGAGCACTAGTTGCTCTGCCAGAGAACTCGAGTTCTATTCCAAGCACCCACATGGAGGTTTACAACTGTATGTAACTCCAGTTCCAGACTTTCGTCTTTGTCTGCAACACCAGGGCTGTGTTGTGATCGTGTCTGGTGTGCTCCAACCACAGTGATGATGCTGATAAGAAAACCCAAGTCGGGGGTGTTTGTACACTGCAATGAACTTGCTTACTGTCTTGTTGTTGCCGTTTATTTTTATTGTTTTTGATCATGTATGGGTGTGTGTACATTTGATAGTGGGCATGTGCACATACTTGAGTGCGATGCCTGTAGAGCCAGGGGCACCAGGTCCCCTGGAAATGGAGTTACAAATAGTGGTGCAGCAACCAGGCACACACACTATCTGGTCTCTGCAGGCACCAGTTCAGACAGGCTCATGATGCGCAGACATATATTCAGGCAAAGCATTTACACACATAAAATAAAATAAAATAAAATAAAATAAAATAAAATAAAATAAAAT